CATCCAACCAGTCCATCCTAAAGGAAATTAGTCCGAATGTTCATTGGAAGGACTGATGTTGAAGCTGAAATTCCAATACTTTGGCCACCTGATGCGAAGAACTCACTTATTTGAAAAGACCCTGATGCTGGGGAAGATTGAAGGCAGAGGAGAAGGGGACGACAGAGGATGAGATGGTTGGATGGCATCACTGACTCAATGGACATGAGTTTGAGTAAACTCCAGGGGATGGTGTGTTGCAGTCCATGGGGTTGCAAAGAGTGGGACATGACTGAGCGACTGAACTGTCTGACTGACTGACATATATGAATCCATCAGCATGCTTTGTAATTCCTCCTCAGTACTCTATCCCATTCCCATTTCCACCAATCCTTTAGCAATCTTTGGGCAATACTCTTCTTCTTTTTTTTTTTTAGTGTAATGTAAATTCTTATGATCACGTTCATCATATTTTAAATAATAAATGTAGTATACTAATATTAATGAATTATCCTTTACAACCAGGCTTCCAATCTATGATTAAAGATAGTACTCAGACAATAGAAACACCAATGTTGCATCATTCTAGGTAGCGTATTGTTCCTGAGTTTATAGAAGCGTTTAATGACGTAGGTGAAATTGCCACTTAGTCATTTGAAATGATAAAAGAGTAACAGATGACTTGGGTATTACAATAGAGGCCATTTTAAATATCACATCCTATTAGAAATCTGAGGGAGGCATAAATTAATACTTTCGAAAATTTGAATCCTAGAACATCAGTAAAATTTAGGTATGTAACCTAAGCCTTTTCACTGGCTTCCTCCTGGATTTTCTTCCATCTTCAAAGGAGCAGATTTTTTTTATTAGTTATTAGCTTATTCTTATGTGTACTTGGGATGAAGCAAAATGTTTGGTTGCAATATGGTCTGATGTTCCAACACACCAACAGTTGAGTTTTAAGTGTAAATAGAATTTTTAATAAAGTACATTTTGAACACACCAAAATGATTAGTTTAAAAAAATCCTTATAAAAATAAGTACAACAGTTGAGTTTTGATGACTTTGTAAGCTGGTGATTCTCATTCCCTGAAATACCGCCCCCCAACCTGAAGTGCTTTGGAAGCTGTTGTGGAAAAAAAACACCAGTACCCCAGCACTTAGGGAAAATCTTGGTGTTAAGGAAATGAGGGAAGATCAAAAACCTATAAAAGAGACCTTTCGGGAGAAGATACTTAGGAATTAGCTGTTCTCCTTATGATAAAATGCCTAAAAGTTTACTTACTTGTGTATGCCATGCTTGGGAATCTCAACTAGAGACTCGCTTGAATGAACCAGCAATTTCTTGTCATTCACTTACACACCAGTATGCATACTAATCCCTTGAAAACTGAATTGCTGACTGGGAGTTTGGGCAGCAGGCCCAATGTGCTACTTCAGAGTACAGGCCTTGGCTAGGGGACCAGGGTGAGGGTAATGGGGCTGGTGCCTGAGATAATGTCACCACCTGGATATGCAGGTGAGTGGACACAATGGAGTGAAGATGAAGAAGTCAGCGCGAGGGGCTAGTGTCCGCATTTGCCAGTGTCCGGGGTTTAGGGAAACTCTGCTCTGCTTTAAATGGTCCTGGTTCTTGGGATCTGGAACTTAATGCTCTTAGTGTTATCATCAAGCCCTGCCACGTGTGAGATGGGCTTCTCTGGTGGCTCAGATGATGGAAAAAAATCCAGCTGCAATGCAGGAGACCCGGGGTCCAGTCCCTGGGTGGGGAAGATTCCCTGGAAAAGGGAAAGGCAACCCACTCCGGTGTTCTTGCCTGGAGAATCCTATGGACAGAGGGGCCTGGCAGGCTGTATAGTCCATGTGGTTGCAAAAAGTCAGACATGACTGGGTGACTAAGCACACAGCACGTGTGTAAAATAGGCTCTTGTGAATTGATCTGACACTGTTTCTATGGAAATATGTGTTGTGAATTCCAAACACTTCGGTGGAGAAATTTTGGAGCAAAATCCTTGGTGAGCTGACTATACTAGAACTACGTATATGTTCTTAAGATTATACAACCTACTTACAGAAATAGACAGACACACACATACACATATATATGCTGTATAAGTGATGGTCAATCGTTTCAGAAATTTACTATCCTTTTGGGGGTAATAACTCTTCTCCTACATTTCGTTTTACTTCTGTGACCTTTGATTTTTCACAGCTGACTGGCACAGACTCCAGAAAGTGAGTAGGAAAAGGGAGAGAAAAAGACTCAAGCTTCTCCCTTGTACCACATTTTGAGTAGTTTTGGGCAAGCTTGGCTTTGCTAGAGGGACTAAGTTTTGAAGCCTTAGGAAGGCCTCCCTCTGCTCCCCTCAGTCCTCTGCTCCCCTCTTCCAGTTCACTCATATCTTTTTTTTTCTGAATATTTTCAGTTTGTTGAAATTCTGCCACTAAATAGTGATCAGGATGTGCCCTTGAGAGGATACAGATACCTGGTTTTATTAATAAGGGAGGCTGACCTGTGTTTTGTGTCTGCTCTAAACCAAATGTTTAGCATATGATATATCTAGTCTATACATTGAGCTTGTCACTTATAAGTCAGGGAATTGCTGAAGCTCAGCTGCTGTGTTAACTTTCTCTCCAGAGGTATGGAGCCAGCAGGGTGGGTGGATAGGAAGGGATTTTGAAGGAATTGGCTCACATGATTGTGGAAGTTCATTCAGTTCAGTCGCTCAGTTGTGTCCGACTCTTAGCGACCTCATGAACCGCAGCACGCCAGGCCTCCCTGTCCATCACCAACTCCCAGAGTTTACTCACACTTATGCCCATTGAGTCGGCGATGCCATCCAACCATCTCATCCTCTGTCGTCCCCTTCTCCTCCTGCCCTCAATCTTTCCCAGCATCAGGGTCTTCTCAAATGAGTCAGCTCTTCGCATCAGGTGGCCAAAGTATTGGCGTTTCAGCTTCAACATCAGTCCTTCCAGTAAATATTCAGGACTGATCTCCTTCGGGATGGATTGGTTGGCTCTCCTTGCAGTCCAAGGGACTCTCAAGAGTCTTCTCCAACACCACAGTTCAAAAGCATCAATTCTTCTGTGCTCAGGTTTCTTTATAGTCCAACTCTCACATCCATACACGACTACTGGAAAAACCATAGCCTTGACTAGACGGACCTTTGTTGACAAAGTAATCTCTCTGTTTTTTAATATGCTGTCTAGGTTGGTCATAACTTTCCTTCCAAGGAGTAAGTTGGCAAGCCCCAAATCTTCAGTGTAGGCGGGCAGGGAAGGGAAGTCCCAGAGAAGGGTTAATGTTGCAGCCAGAATTTGAAGGTCGTCTGCTGGCAAAACGTCTTCTAACTCTGAGGAGATCAGCCTTTTCTCCTAAGGACCTCAACTGCTTGGATAAGGACAACCCACATTCTAGAGTCATCTGCTTGACTCAAAATCTATTGACTTAAATGTTAATCTCATGTGCAGAATACTTTCACATCAACATTGAGACCTGTCTTTGACCAGATATCTGGGTTACCATGGCCCAGTCAAGTTGGCACACACAAACCATTGCAGCCAGTCAAAGTCACTTTCCTGGGTTATGCTGCTGGCAAGTGTTAGACCTACTATGTGAACCCAGGTCTGCCTGGCTCTAAAAACCCTTGCTGTCTTCACTGTACTGTAGAACCTTCATTGAGTCAGGTTGTTTCCTGTAGCAGAGATGTCAGTCCTTTTGTGAGAATGAATATATAGCTTTGAGAGGAAAGGGAAGTTGATTTGGAAGCTCCAAGTGCTAGAGGAATTGGGTAAGGGAAAGGCAAATTGGAAAAACCTCATTTGGACAATAAAGCAATAGAGAAGAGCTTGTCTTGATGTAGAAGAAAGAACTGAGAGGTGACCATCAAGCTTGGTGTATTCAGCAGTGTTGACATGGCCTGGAATTGGCCCTGTGAAAACATTCTCCATGCACGTTTACTTTAGAAAGTGGTCTTTGTGAAGACAGGGATGTGTCTTTCCCATTCTCATATCCACTTCATTTGCCTAGTAGCTGTTAGTTTAATGAAGTCTCATCTACTAAATTTATAGAAGAATCCGAATTAGGACCTAGAAATTGGATGGATGTGGACTGATGTGCTTTTTAAGATGTTTTCTGAGGTATGGGGATGTCGTTTGTTCCTGCTCTGGTGTGCTTTCTGGCTGGACAGGGGCCCTTGTGGCAGTGGCAGTCAGAAGCTGCCCTCGGCCTCCTAGTTCTGGCCGCTGGCCTCGAAAGAGACTGGATGAGGCCCTGCAGGCTCTCACTGTCCTCCACGTGAGAAGAGTAATGGTGGAGTTGTATCAATTATGTCAATTCCTGGTTTTCCATGGTACTTGGCTATTCAATAGCTGCTATCCTAAAATAACCTGTGTGTGTGTGTGTGTGTGTTTGTAAAAGTCGCTCAGTTGTGTCTGACTCTTTGCAACCCCATGAACTATACAGTCCTTGGAATTCCCCAGGCCAGAATACTAGAACAGGTAGCTGTTCCCTTCTCCAGGGGGTCTTCCCAACCCAGGGATTGAACCCAGGTCTCCCGCACTACAGGTGGATTCTTTACCAGCTGAGCCACAAGAGAAGCCCACAATAACCTCTATTATGGCTAATTACAAGCCAGCAAATGAGATCATGATTTTGATAACTAGGTTTGTTTAGGCAGGTTTATTTTGATTGCAATGATTTATTTTCATTCATGCACACATAAATGATACTTTTAAATTTTAATTTCTAATTAAAGGATTATATAACTGATTTTTAACTCTAGCTCAAATGGAAGAAGGGACCAGACAACAACAGGGACGTTTGATGTCCTGACTCCTAAGACTGAGTAGGTCAGCTGACCCTCAATCACGAAGGGTAATGCCCTATGTCTAGATAGATTTATCCTGAAGTATGGCTTCTAATCCAGACTTTAAGGCTCCTTTTAGTATTTATGTGAAATGTCAAAGTGGTTTTTGTCATTTCTTGGGTGACGTCAGGCCTTATCTCTCTGCTTCAGCGGACACCCCTGTGATCTCGGAAGAGAAAGGGCCCTGTTACCGGCTTGTCAGTTCCGGAAGGCAGTGCATGCACCCGCTGTCTGTCCACCTCACCAGGCAGCTGTGCTGTTGTAGCGTGGGCAAGGCCTGGGGCCCACACTGTGAGAAATGTCCCCTTCCAGGCACAGGTAAGACGTGCCCCGCCACGTGCTCGTGTTCATTCCCGGCCACACAGGATGATTTGGACAGCATGGGTTCTTTGTGGTTTCTGACTTTAAATCAGTTATTAGTAATACAATGTGTTTTTATCCTTTTGAACAAACCATGAATGTACAAGGTTGAATCAGTGGAAAAAATTACATGCAAAGAGCTTTTCCCATTTGTGTGTAACGTTAGACTTCCTTTTGGATGTTAAGAAAAGCCGTTGCTTTTTATCCCTAGTTTCTGTCCCTAGTTTCTGCTGTTTAAAAGTGCGGAGACACCAGAAGGCTGTGTTGGGCTTGCACTTTTCTGATGATTGACTGTTCACTGCCTGCATGGTCACTAGATCTGATGTAGGTTAACTCTCTTAACTCATGTATTGAATGGGTGCCTGTCAGGTTCTATTAAGAACATCGTGCTTGATTTCTCCAGGTGGAAATGGAGAAAATTATATTCACAATTGAATTTATGCTATGAAAATTCGTAATTCAAGGGCAGATCCTCCTATGAACTTCTGGATGGGAACTGAATATAAGAAGTGATGATTCTTTATGCTTCAGTTGAGTACATGATTGCCTAATGCTCTGAAAGCATAAATTTATCTAAGTGCTTTATGTATCCCAAGGCATCACCAACTTCTCAAGCAGGGTCAAGTAGAGTTAAATGGAAGAGAAAGAAACATACCTGCAAATACTAGGCGTGATATTATTTAAGAAAAAGAAAAAAAAGAGTGGTGTACCTGTTTCACTGACATGGGGTGGGCGTAAGATGTCTACCTGATTTCTTGTTTGATAAGGTGGTTCCCATCTAGGGAAGGGTGTTCACTCTCACAGAGACATTTAATGTCTTAAGCCTATAACTTGCGCTGTTGCAGGCGAGGTTTAATATAAATGTAATGGTCACAAGCCACTTTGGTTGTTGCCTAGGAGCAGAAAGAACTGGTGAGGCAGAGATAGTATAATGTTGATGATATTTTGTTATACTGCGTGACTTGAGACATCTCCGGAAGGCCCTAGTAGCCTCCTGAGGAGTCTGATCTGCTCAGTATTAAAAAGGAATAATCAATGAAATTAATGATCTTGATAATTCATAGACCCAGTTTTCTTTAAGTTCCATTTTGATAGCTTTTGTAGCCCTTATATGAAGCATAAATCAAGAAAGTGAATGTAACACAAGAAGATTTTCCCATAAAGTAGTCACTAAATTTGAAAATAATATTAAAAATAAAATTTGGACACCTAACCAATTTTTGATTATAAGATGACTTTCATAAAAGTAATGTTTAGTTTTTTCATATACCTCAAGTATTTGATAGAAAAACTTTTTCTAGAAACTTCTGTTCTTTCACATGAAAATTGTATTTCATAGTTGGACATAAAAATGAGGTTCTACCATTTAATGTGTGATCCTTAGAAAAACAGTATTTTAGCATGCTTTAAGGAGTATTTTAGAGTTTTATTTTTACTGAGAACTAATTTTAGGTCCAGAACATTCAATAGGAGTTCTCTTGTTCAGTGGAAGTGAAAAGTGACTTATTTTACTTTCAGTTTTAAAGGTGGAAATAAAGGAGTTGACTATAAGCCCCTTGCTGTCTGCATTTGGTAACTTGCCTCCAATACCAACACCAAAGAGATTAGGTGGCTTTTTCCTCCTCAGGCCACACATGGTCTTGCCTCCCTTGTCTTTCCCCTTGACTTATTCCTGGTGATTATGCAATGAAGGTTAGGAAATCACATGTACCCGGCTGATATTTTTTAAGTGTACAAAACCACTTTCCTGGCAGGAATAGCAGTTACAGGATACAGAATATCTCCTTGTCCTCACGATAATTCGACCAGTTGGTTGTGGTCTGGCTTTTGCTCACTTGTCACCCCTCCGCTTGAAAATAACTACATTCTAACTTGGTGTGTCCTTTTCCCTTGATGTCTACCTGTCATCTCTTTAGCATGTGTCTTTGACTGGCTTCATTTTCACCATCCTGAGAATATTTCTTCGAAACCACTTGCCCTTTTCAATTCTTCTTAACCAACCTCTGCATATCAGCTGATACTCCCCACCCTGGCTTCTTCATCTTTGCTTTCTTCAATGGGAATCAAATTAGAATGATTTCAACACCTCATTTCCTTCAATAGTGATTGCTCTTTCTTTTACCATTTAATTTAGATGTTACTAATTTCCTGATTAATAGTTAATGAAATTAGACCAAAGCAAGAGTGAAAAATCTGATTTTTACTGATGTTATACCCTCCTCCAAGATATATATAATCTATATTGTATGTTCTGTACTTAAAAATCTCATGTATTACATATATTTTCTGTGTGTAATACATAGTGTGATAGAGAATATTAAATATAAAATATATGTATACTATCTCTTAATTTGTTGCTGATATATATAATTTAATATATAAAATATGTGCTCTCTCTATATATAAGATTCTGATTGTGTAAGATAAAGAATTAACAGATGGAGAAATGTTTACTAAAAGAATTGAGTTTTTTCCTGTAAATATGCAAGTTTGAGAGAAATTAGAGCATTTTGCATCTGTTCTTTAAGTTTTTAAATGTAACTATAAATTAATGATGATTTATTAAGCAATATTCATCATGCTGTTTTCCTCTGTATAAGTTTGCACTTTTAGATTTTTAAAAGGAATATTTTCCCATCCCAAATCTAGCTGCTTTTAAGGAAATCTGTCCTGGTGGAATGGGTTATACGGTTTCTGGCGTTCATAGACGCAGGCCAATCCATCACCATGTAGGTAAAGGACCTGTATTTGTCAAGCCAAAGAACACTCAACCTGTTGCTAAAAGTACTCATCCTCCACCTCTCCCAGCCAAGGAAGAACCAGTGGAGGCCCTGACCTTCTCCCGGGAACAGGGGCCAGGAGCGGTGGAGCCAGAAGGTGAGAGTGGAAATGGATCATGGAGCTAGCCATCTGTCTTGTGTGTCTTTGGTTTCCCTGTATATACGTTCTCTAATAGGGGCTTTCAGCCTCAGCACTATTGACAATTTGGGGTGGATGACTCTGATACAAGGGGCTGCTCTGTGCATTATAGGATGTTTAGCAATGTCCCTGACTTCTGACCTCTAGTGCGGTAGCACCCTCCCCCTCCTGGTTGTTACAACCAAAAAGATGTGCAAATACCACTGACTGTCCCCTGGGGGAAGAATTACCCCTGACTGAGAACCACTGCTCCAGACCAGTTGTGACAGTCTTCCATGATAATCGAATGAAATTGTCTTATGTTTGGGAGCTACTTTTTCTTGGTGTTTACTCCTGGATAGTGGTTTAGATTTTTCAGGGAATAGCCAGAATTCACTTCTGTATCTAGAGAGCTGTTTAACAAATATGTGTTTACTTTGAAAAGTGGAATCCACGGGCTTGAAGCATCAACTGGGCTTCCATGAAATAGTTTCACAGGCAGTCAGGGATAATGGTCAGCAAAATGAAGGAAGATAGGGTCCATGAAAGGGATTTTGGAAAGAGTTCACCTAAGCGAAGTCCTTTGCTTTGCATTTTGAGAACTGGAGATAGAGCAACTGACTTGCAAATATCATACGAAGAGCATGTGGTAGAACCAAGGAACACATTTTTCCCAGGAGGTGGTTAAGGCCTTCTACTCCAGAAGGAGACTAGAGACAATTGGTTCTGTTTCAGAAAGAAGGATTATCTGTCTTTGTCTCTTCATAGAAGCCAGCATGTCCAATACTTTGAATATCTTTTTCACCACAGAAGTGCTCACCCCAAATAGTATGAACAAAAATCTTAACTTTGTGTGGGATAGGTATTGGCTTTAAGAAAGCTGCTGTTTTTCTTTCACACTTGGATTCTGGATGGGAATTCAGGGTGTGCATTTATGGGTTTTGTGAGGAGAGAAGGTGCTCAAGTTAGATGAGGCATGGGGAGCATGGCAAGGAAGAGAGGCCTCTTTTCAGGGCTCTGGACCTCCATGTGTTCTAGCCTAGTTAAGTCCGCTCTTTCACATACTGCACTTCTCTTTGGTTAGGCCGACGAGGTAGGACCTCACCTAAGGTTGACGGTGTTGGCCAGTTTGTTCCTGTATCGTTACCCAGGTGTTTGCAATTCCTCCTTCTCTTCATAAGCAGGAGAAAATGGGCTGTGGTCCAGATTCTGCCTCAAGAGTTTCTTGGTGGTGAGTTAGAGAGGATAGAAGGTTTATTGACTTTTTCTAACCACAAGAATGTGGCAGCAGTGGTAGCAATCTGGTGCCCTGATTATGTTTAGGAGTAATGCATCTACCATATCTTATACTAATGTTTATGGAGATGTTGACCCATGAGCAGAATCCCTGTGATTATTGATCTAAGATTTGAGGACTAATTCTACAACTGGTTTTTGAAGTGTTTCAAAATGGAAAGGAATAATCACTACCACCACCACCCTGTAATAATGTTGGTGATTGTGTAATCTGTGATTGTTCAACATAGTGATGCTAATTGCTTGTTGAATCTTGCTGGCTTGTGATTTGATTTTTTTTTTTCTTTTTGTAATCTTGTTAGAATATCCTTCTGAAAATGCTCATATTGTTTCATTAAAGATCAGTGTGCACCAAGAATGCAGCACCCTTTCTTAGGTCTCTTATTGAAACAGGGGCATTTATTTTTTTTTCTAACATTGATATCAGAAAGCATTTCAAACATTGTTTATTATGTTAAGGATAACTGTAATGAAAATGTTCCTTTTCTAAGTCTAGAAAGTGCTACAAAATTGTGAATAGGCATGAGACACTGTGTCAGGAAGTGTTGCCTCCTATAACTTTAATAGTGAGTTGGAAAGAACTACATCCCATCTACTACCTGATTTCCTGCAACTGAGGAATGACATACAGTTTTCCCCTGTCAGTCATGTGTAAAATGCTCCAAAATGGTAGTTGACTATCATTCTGCACTTGATTTAGTTTGATTCTTAATCCTTTTGGAGACTGAACTTTTGTTGCTTTTTAAAAATTGAACTATTATGTACTAGACTGTTTTGAGTTGTACTAATGTCCTTCTCTCTTTTTTGGTTTTAGTGGCAACTGTACCTCCTGAGAAGGTAATTTATTCATTGTTTGCAAGCTGTCTTTTGTTACCTTCATAATGATTTTCTTCTAGATTATGTGTGATGTTTTAAGACTTAAATATAGTAACATGTCTATTATACATTATTTCACTTAAGGAAATATATTGAATAACAGTCATTCATTCAATAAACATTTATATGACTGGCACTATGCTGAATATTAGGGAAATAGTACAGACCAAATCAGACATATCTCCTTGTTCTCATGGAACTTAAATCTGGGGAGATGAAAATGATGGGCCTGATGGGAAACAGGGACTTTAGTGAAATTCAGAGAGTTAGTTTATGGCCTGGAACATCTATGGAAAGAAAGATTCTGACATGTTTATGTAATTGTGTATTCTCAGTTCATATATAGAGTGGTGTACTTCTTATTTCAACTAAAATTTGATATGCATGTTTTACTTAAATTGGAGTATAAGCAGAACTTACCCTTGAAATTTATAATCAAGTACTGGGATATTGCTTCCTTAAAATTTTAGAGAAATTTTAATCTTTCATTTTTGGGGACCATGAAATGGGATACCGAACTGTGAGATTTATTAGTAGAAAATACTAGCATTTACTGAAGCTCTGTTCTGTTTATATAATATTGTTCCTTGTCTGAAGATTTATTGGTAACATGAAAATTAGGTAATTATTGTATGTTTATACATTTGTGTAGTGTTCATTCTCTCACAAGAATGTAGTTTTAGGATTTAGATGGGGACATAGACCTATGTAAAATATTATAAATAGTTTTAAAAATCTTTAGTTTATAAGTATGGGGATAGAATAACACAAAAGTTAAAAGTGCTGACAGAATCCAGAAAAAAAATGATTTTAGAGTGATAGCATCCAGTAAGGAAAAATGTTTTTAATACTGACCCCCAAAAGAAGCACAAGAGATTTGCATATTTTACATGGATAATTTGCTGCTCTTGGAGAGCATCTCTAAAGATCAGTGACGTACAGTAGTTTGCAATTTTGTTGATTTTGAATTTAGTTCTGGTTTAGAAATGGGAGGAATCCTTTAGTATATGAGTGGTCCAGCCAGCTCCCTGACAACCTCATCTTATCTGATTTTCTTCTCCTCTGTTTATGATTGAGCTTGTGCAACTTTCATAAAGACTCTGAAAGAGGGCCTGAAAATTTTCTTGTGTACGTTCAGAGAGGAGGCAGTGGGGAAAATGCAGCCGTGGACTTTGTAGTCTTGACTTTCTGTGGAGATCTCATGCTCTTAAAGATCAGTGAAGAGAAAGCAGGGTGATCCACTGATGAGAAATTATGTGCACAAAGGTGCAGTGGAGGGTGGGGTCAGCACGGGGTCATTTAGGGGAGCAGGAAAGACTCAGAGAACTTGGGAGGTGCTTCGGAAGGCTTGGAATACCAAACTGCAGCTGTAATCAGTGGGGAAATACTGTCCTCCTCAGCTGGACCCACTTGTCAAGTGGAGAAGTGGCATGGATCAGGAAGTAGGCAGTCCACTGCCCCATGCTCCAGGGAAGTCGGGGAGGAGGGCACAGGTCTGGAATCCTGTCTGTAAGCTGCAGGAGTTGATTGACACCTGGTTTGGTCCACTCCTTGGTAGCATTGACCTTGGGCTGCAGGGGGTGGGGTATAGTTGAGCCTGATTGGGGTCACCTTTCAATGGGTAATAGGAAAGCTAGTCTATATTCTTAAGAAGAGGGGGAAATGTAAGGGGAAAAGTAGTAAGTGCTCTGTGTTTCTAGAAGATGCAACACAATGGGATTAACTGAGATGGGGGAAGAGGAAGCTTGAGAGGCTGATTAGACGACTACAGTGAACTGGGAATAAGGGTGAGTGTAGCTGAAGGTAGTAGGGGGCTGTGGATGTGGAAAAAGATCAACCAATATAAGGAACAGTGGAAATAGGCAGGGCTTAGAATGAGGAATGAAAAGTGACTTTAAACCTGGACAGATCAATGACTGTGGCATTCACAGAGGTGAAGAAGTTGGAATCAGAGCCCGGATGTTTTTGGGAAGGGATGCGTTTGAGGGATTTGTAGAATATCTAAATGGAGTTACCCTGTAAGCACTCATGCCTTCAAAATTGGGTCTTTGAGGTACTCAGGCAGGATATCTATTTTATTAAGAGCAGAAAAGGTGATAAGTAAAGAAAGCTAGGAGAGAAGGTTTTTCTTTAACATCTTACGGGAAAATTTGAACGAACTTTCTGGCCAACCTAGTAAAAGTTAGAGCTGGACATGTATCAACAGACTGGTTCCAAATAGGAAAAGGAGTATGTCAAGGCTGTATATTGCCACCTTCCTTATTTAATTTATATGCAGAGTACATAATGAGAAAAGCTGGGCTGGAAGAAGCACAAGCTGGAATCAAGATTGCCGGGAGAAATATCAATAACCTCAGATATGCAGATGACACCACCCTTATGGCAGAAAGTGAAGAGGAACTAAAAAGCCTCTTGATGAAAGTGAAAGAGGAGAGTGAAAAAGTTGGCTTAAAGCTCAACATTCAGAAAACTAAGATCATGGCATCTGGTCCCATCACCTCATGGGAAATAGATGGGGAAACAGTGGAAACAGTGTCAGACTTTATTTTTTTGGGCTCCAAAATCACTGCAGATGGTGACATTAAAAGACGTTTACTCCCTGGAAGGAAAGTTACGACTAACCTAGACAGCATATTAAAAAACAGAGACATTACTTTGCCAACAAAGGTCCGTCTAGTCAAGGCTATGGTTTTTCCAGTAGTCAAGTATAGATGTGAGAGTTGGACTATAAAGCAAGCTGAGCACTGAAGAATTGATGCTTATGAACTGTGGTGTTGGAGAAGACTCTTGTGAGTCCCTTGGACTGCAAGGAGATCTTACCAGTCCATCCTAAAGGAGATCAGTCCTGAATGTTCATTGGAAGGACTGATGTTGAAGCTGAAACTCCATTCCTTTGGCCACCTGATGCGAAGAGCTGACTCATCTGAGAAGACCCTGATGCTGGGAAAGATTGAGGGCAGGAGGAGAAGGGGACGACAGAGGATGAGATGGTTGGATGACCTCACTGACTCAATGGACATGAGTTTGTGTAAACTCTGGGAGTTGGTGATAGACAGGGAGGCCTGGCATGCTGCAGTCCATGGGGTCACAAAGAATCGGACACAACTTAGCATCTGAACTGAATAAAAGGGAGAGGCCAGGGGAGTGAGTTTTCTGGAAGATGACAGTGATTAAAGTGAGGGAGGGAGTGTGTAGGATAACCTGATGAATACTTTTACGGGAGTGGTGACGTGAGTGCTCTGGCCCCACACTGATGTAGGCAAGGTCACAGACCTTTACCTAGCCTGATGCTTCAGTCTGCAGGAGTCCTGAAAGGAGCTGAAACTGGAAACTGAGTCCTGGGTGCGAGTCTGTGGTTCAGGAGATAAGAGTGGGCAAAAGCATGTGTGGGGAAATCCCCTGGTCTCCTCCAAGTCCCTAGTTTTCTATTGCTGTTCGACTACCGGCATTCTGAGAGGTGGAGAAGCAACTGGCCAACTTATCATACTTTAGTGTCTCATGTGTTCTTTCTTACGACACACCTGTATCCATTTTTAATCTGCAGGATGGGGCTGGTCATTTTATTTGGGCAGAAGCCACATGTGAATGAGGTGACGGCTTATTTTAGTTCTTCTCTGGGATTAGTTTTGCCTTGTTCCAGACCAAACATGGGCCTCTGAGCCAAGGCATTTGTTTAAAATGTCTAAGAGACCTTTTGGGCCCTGGGAAATGGGTGAGGATGTGCGCATGGATCAGCACTGCTAGGAAAACTCAAGGGCTCAGTGTAGTAGCACATCAATATAGTACGTTTAAAAATTTTCTTTTACACAGTTGTGCAAGTTGTGTAATATCCTGTGATATTTGTTGCCTTTCTAAGAGTAGAATTAATGAAATAAAAATAGTAATATGTAGAAACTAAAAATTCCTACTCTCAGTTCTCTTTTTTTCCCCCCATTTTAATACAACCATCCAGGAAATACCTTCACTAGATCAAGAGAAAACCAAACTTGAGCCTGGTCAACCCCAGCTCTCTCCAGGCATTTCAACCATTCATCTGCATCCACAGTTTCCAGGTAGTCTGTGTTGATTTGCACCATTTGTGAGAATACTCTGAATAAAAGAGTAAGATGAAGACTGTTGTGTGTCTCTGGTTTTAAAGTTTTAGTCATGAGAATTCCTAAGTGAAGTGAAATGTGAAGTACACTTATGTATATTAATATCCTCATATAATGTTACTGTAAGTATGGTACAGTCGATCCTTCTTTATCCGTGGTTTTACTTTCTGCGGTCAGCTACAGCCCAAAAATATTAAATGGAAAATTCCAGAAGTAAACAATTCATACGTTTTAAATTGTGCATTGTTCTGAGTAGCATGATGAAATGTCGCGCCGTCCTGTTCCATCCTTCCCAGGACATGAATCATCCTTTGGTCCAGTATCCATGTTCTATGTGCTTCCTGCCCATTAGTATAGGAAAAACACAGTATATATAGGATTTGATACTATCTGCAGTTTCAGACATCCACTGGGGGTCTTAGAACATGTGCTCCATGGATAAAGGGAGACTACTGTATTATAAATGTTATAGTGATAAAAATTCTTTCACTATTTTCTGTGGTCAGGAGTAATATATTTTATTAGAACATTATTGAGGGTTCATCATTTGATGAAGGGTCATTTTTATTGACTTCCAAATTGCTCTCAGATATTGTCGCTAAATGTGGAAAGCAGGGCTATAGGTTAATATCAAGACCTTTAGGCACCTATAGCTGTTCTTAATATCCAAGAATTAACTGTGGTATGTTGTTAGACTAAATTTTGCTTACATTTTGAAATGGGATCTCAATGCATATAACAGGCTTTAATTTTCATTTTATTCTCTCCCTTCTCATATAGTAGTGATTGAAAAAACATCACCTCCTATGCCTGTGGAAGTAGCTCCTGAAGCTTCAACATCAAGCGCCAGCCAAGTCATTGCACCTACTCAAGTAACAGGTAGGTGCAGTATTGATATTGCAGAGTCTGTGCAGGATACAGGGATGCGAACATTTTAAATGTGAAGTCAAAATTGTATCACATGTATAAGATCGCTCATGGCAGAGTTAGTCATAAGAGCAAATATTTGGAAATAATCTAAATATTTTTTGAAGGAAGAATATGTTTAAATAAGTTACGGCACATATGCAGTGGAATATCACACAGCTGCTAATGTTTTAAAAGTAATGTCATGAGGAGATGCTTGTAGGATGATATTAAGAAATACAGAACATAGTGATTCCAATTTTATTTTTTAAATGTTTATAAACACAGAAAAAGAAAGTTCATCGAAGTGTTTAACCATCCTCAGTTAATAGGATCATGGATAAACTTTCTGCTCTTCAATATATTTTTATATATTTTCAAAATTCTGTTTAATAAACATGTTATTTCAGCCATTAGTGAGAAATTATAAAGATTTATTATAATTTATAACCAACAGCTTTAAAGTTAATATCCTTAATGTATAGTGAGGTCTTATAAATCAGCAATAAAAATACTAATAGAAAAATGAAATTGCTATCATCAGATAATTCATAGGTAACATACCAAAAACATGTATGTAATAGGAAATTTCGACTTTACTAGTAGTCAAAGAAATGCAAATTAAAGTGAGAATTCTTTATTCTTATCAGTGTAATATTTCTTATTTACTAGAGTGAAGTCAAGGCTCTCACACATTGTGGAAAGGAATGTAAAGTAGTTCAGCTTTTCTGGAAAGCACAAACTGGCAATATGTATCAAGAACTTTTAACTCAGAAATCCCACATTAAGATAACTAGTATAAGGAAATAATGTCCCCCCAACACTGTTGTAATGGTTTGTATAAATGGGCACTTACCACAGCACTGTGTATAATAGAGAAAAAATAGAAAAACCTAAATATTTAATTGTAGGGAAATAGATCATTATATCTACATTGAAACATTGTGCTACCACCAATTACTACAGTATTTTTGAATAATTTTTAAAAATATACCAGAAAATAGTCACAAGATACTGCTAAATACAAGACAAAGTAAGTAAAAATGAACAATATAAAGTATTAAACCAATGATATAAAAAAAGACATACATTGAGAAAATGCTAGAAGAAAAAACACCAGATCAGCAGTGGTTATTTTGGGAGTGGGGTCTGAGGGGTTTGGATGTTGTTTCATTGTGGAATTTTTTTGCGTATTCCACATATTCTGATGTGGGAAAATATTTTTGTAATCAGACAAAGTATCACTAAGGTGCATCATAATAGCATAAATTCATGATACCATTGCAGGATGAGGTTGGCAGTGTATACAGGAGAAGCTAATAGAGGAATGTGCAACCTCTCTCAGAGTTTTGCCTCCTAAGAAACATGACATTGCATCATTTCAGTCTAATGCTCTCCTAACTGAGCTGTTCTGGCTAGCTGACATTGCATCATTTCAAACAGAAACATGTTTGGTTAGATGTATTAATTAGTTGGATTGTGGTGATCATTTCACAATGTATAGATATTAAAAAGCCAAGTTGTACGCTGTTAAGTACATACAGTTTTTATACGTTTTAAAAAACCAAAGCTTTGACCTATTTTCTCAGAATTGTGGATGCACTTTCTCTTGGACGCTTGAATTGATACAGCAGACAGGAGAGTATTTTTAAGCCACCCCCCTGTCCTGAGGTGAAGTGCAGTTGACCAAGTAGTGCAGTCACTTCAGGGGCCCAGCAGCATGTCTCAGCTGCTTCAGCAATACCCTCAAGATGCAGCTGCACCCAGAGTCATGGCCTTCCCACGTGGATGCAGAGCAACTGCTCTTTGGTTTTGCTGTTAATAGTGAACAGAGTGATAGAGAAATGTTAGCTATTCTAAGTAGTGGGTTGACTCATATGAATTTTCTGGCCAAACCCTGTATCTCTAATGATAGAGTAGAGTGAAATGTTAGTGATTTTTGTTTGTTTGTTTTTAATGGCTGTGGCCAAAATTGTTTTTCTCTGTTCTGAAGTCACAGCTGTGTCTACTTATCTCATTAAACCCATCTGTGAAAGACTGGGCTTCCCTGGTGGCTCAGATGATAAAGAATCCACCTGCAATGAGGGAGACCTGGGTTCGATCCCTGGCTTGGGGAAGATTCCCCGGAGGAGGGCATGGCAGCCCACTCCAGTATTCTTGCCTGGAGAATCCCATGGACAGAGGAGCCTGTCAGACTGCAGTCCACGGGGTCGCAAAGAGTCAGACACGACTGAGCACATATGCATGGCCACTATGCAAGGCATGCAAACATATAATGCACCTTCTTGGTCAGCAAGTCTTCTCGCTGTTTATATCTGCATTAAAAAAGAAAACTGTAGTCTGTCAATGTGCTCGTTCTTTCAAGTACTCTATTTCCATTTTCCAATGTGAAGACACACTGTCATTTTGTCCTTTTTTAACAATGGCTGACTTACCAGACAGACTTCTTGCCGTTTAGCTTTGTAAAGGTTTGGCTAGATAAACAGTTTGATCATTTAAATGCAGCCCTGTGAGGAATAACAAATTGCAGTTACTCAGCTTCAACTGAACTGTGGAACTGATTGAAAAAAAATGAAACTAGTTGTGCTATATGAAGTTGTTAGAAGACAGCTTAATTTGAGTTTGGCAGAGATACAGGGCTAACATCTGCTATCACATGTTTGAAGCACAAATATTTCCTTCCAGGAAACAAGTGACATTGAAATTTCATTTTCACGCAGCATTTATAGGTGCTCTGATTTCCTATAGTAAAAGAATCTTTCTGAACCAATCCATGGGGAGAACATTTTAAATAGTTTTTGAATTTAAATAATTTGCAGTTTTGGAGCTATACTATGATCTGTAATCTACCCTAGAACAAGAGGAATGTTTTGTATCAAATTTAATTGAAATCAAAATATAGATGTTCCCATTGATTTTGATAAGAGAGCCAGATATGTAGATTGAAGGAGCAATCTGATTGAGTCTCTCTGGAACATTAGGCATAGTTGTTGTTGTTTTTTTTTTTTTTAACTTGGAACACAAAGGAGGTAGATGTTAGTTACTCTTAGTTTCTTCCATGAATTGAAGAAAGGAATAGAATAGTAAGTAGGCATCTAAAATAACCAAAATCAGCCTCACATTGCTCAGCAATGATATCTTTATGATGGTGAAATTGGAAGTAGCCTTTGTAGATTTCATCAGACTCACTTTAACTTGCAATAATTATAAAGGGAGCCACATATTTGGAGGGAATAAGGGTGATATTTTCCACTCTGAGCAGCTGAGTTGGTGGCTTGCAATATTATTGGCACACTGTTTCCAAAGAAATGATACATTTCAGCATATAAATTCTTGATTTAGCATAGTGTCTTAGTAGCTCAAGGATAGGTTGGAAAATCAAACCTTTATTTCTTTGGCGAGTATTTACAAAGTGGAAACATCTGCTTCAATTGTTGTGGGACAATTTATGCTCTTTGTGGGGCAGTTAGGAAGCCAGGGCATTTTTGTAAACCTTTCCATGAGTTGACATTTGATGCCTTCCTCTGCCAGCTCTTCCTAAACTTTCTCCATGGCCCTTGCAGACCAGCCAGAAATTATTCTGACTTTCATGACTGCTTTGTGTAAACCTTTGTAATCATCATGGCCCAAACGTTGTAAAAACTATTTTGCTCATCAGATCTTTTCCAGAGCTCATCAGTAACCCCTTTATAAAAACCTTTGTCCCTGAAGCATATTACCAGTGTCATGACAGCCTCAATAAACTATGTAGGCTCATGGAAGATGAATTTTGTTGCATGTAAAATCATCATGCTTTAATATTTCCAGCTCTATTTATTTATTTATTTTGAGTAATCACATGAGCAGGAAAAAAGCAAAAGGTCAGCGTATTCATTTTCATATCTTGCCAAAAGCTTTCTTTTTCATTTAATTCTTAAAGACACCAGACTCTTAAATCTATCTCTGGCAGTCTTTCTGGGACAAATAGACCATTTGGTTTTCCATTGGCTTTTGGTCATGACTCCTTTTTCCAAATTCTAAATGGACTCCCGGGAAAGATAGAATGAAGTCCTTGGCCTGATGGAGGTGAAGCTGTTTCAGGGGCCGCCTGTGTAAGGGCGGTCCTGCACCCTAGGGGAAATGTGATGGGCATTATGAAGGGGGATGCTTCCGAGAGTCCAGTGGAAACAGTCTCTTGTCTCTGAGAAGCCAAACATGCTTCAGAAGAGAAGACATGATCTTTAACCTGAGTGCCCCAGAGACCAGTCATGAGTGCTGTCTGTGCAAGGTTTTGCCGTATTCCCAGTGGCTGTGTCGATGCCATCAGCACATATGGAGGAATGTATATTTTGACCTGAACTGATCCTTTCTGTGGGAACAGGCTAGCATGGCTCTGTGAGTGACCTCTTAGAAGAATGTAAAGCAAAGTGTCTTTGTCCCCCCAAATGCAGAGAAAGCCAGAGGCTTTTTTTCTAAGCCTGAAGTTTAATTGTTTCAGTTTTAAGACAATACCATCAAGACTGTCTTTCTGTGTAACTTATAATGAAGAATGAAAGTGTAACAGACAAAGAAGGGAAGTGGAGGAAGAGGTGGTGTGAAACACCTTTTGAGTTTTAGGAGTATCAATAATTTTTTTTTAACTTTAAAAATGGTGTTGATCAATGTTGTTGTTTTCTGAGATGTGGTTGACGTATAACATTGTATGAGTTTAAGGTATACAATGTACTGGTTTGATCCATTCATGTATTGCACTATGATTACTACAAAAGCATTCGCTGACACCTCTATGAAGTCACATGCTTTCTTGTGTGTTGAGAGCAGTTAAGATTTAGTATCGTTGATTATAATCTGGCAAATTTTTTGATGAGTGGTAGAGAGGAAGCAGAGGTATTTTAAAGTTGTTAATTTTTATTTTTGAACTTAGAATGGTGGGATAGCAAATAGATGAACGGGATCTCTGAGGATAAGCTGATACGTTACAATTTATCATATGTATAAAAAATGGGACAAACTGTAGAAATCTAGAATATGTTAGTAAATATCCCCTCACACTGACGTATCTCTTAGTACCCTCTAGTGGTGTCGGAGTAGCATTTTCTTACATACGTTAGTGCCAGTTGCGATCAACATTTTCAAACTGCAGTTTTATATACATAATCTATGAGGTAATCAGCTAAGAATTCTCAAGCTTTCCTCATAAATATTTCAACCTCATAGCTTCTATTTAAGTTACTAAGTTGGAATGAAAGGCCGTTATTGTTCATTTCTTAAGACAGAAGAGTTAAAATTCTTAATCATTTCTTCTATCTTAGAGTTGACTTAAGAAGAAATTATACAAATATTGGCACACTGGCATAGGAATGTATCTCATCTGAATTAAGCATCACATATTTTTGAAGACTTTATTTATACATGTAAACATTCCATTCTAAAACTGTGCCTGAAAAAGAACAGATAAATATTTGGTAATCAATAAATTGGTATGTGTGGGAGTGAGAGCAGTGAGTATCCATCAAGCATTTCCTGAAAACCCCAGATGTACAATCTTTTAATTAATTCTCACTACTACTTCTTAGTATATTAAGTCATCTTATAATTTTTCTTTTTGCAAATTTGATCAATATGTCTTCTCTGATTTAAGCAAATGGCAAAGAAGAATATAAAGAAAATAATTACAAAGAAAATCAAGAAATCTAAATACCATTAATTTTAAAAGGAGGCATCTGCTTACATTAAGAATAGATGGTTAAAGAACTGCTTCTCACACTATTCTACTAAAGAATTCTTGTAAACAGAGAAGAGCATTCTTACCTAAGGGTCTAGAAGTAGAACCTGGAGAAAATTACATTTTTTACCTTCAGATTTTTGCAGCACATAGAAATGATAATTTTTTAAGAAAGACTTTTCTGATTATAAAAGTAATAACACATGTTCACTGTAGAAAATTTGGAAGATACAGAAAAATATAGACAATACCAATCCCCGTAATTTAGATTTATTTTCTTCCAATCTACTTCTCTGTGTATAAAATAATTTAGATCATATCCTATATTACAATTTGTACCTAACTATATTTTCTTTAAAAAATAAGCATTTTCTATCCTGCTAAAGATTATTATATAATCTATACTGTGTATGCCTCATAATTTATTGTTTTATATGGTTATTATCGTTCATTTAAGTTTAAGCAGTCATGTTAATTACCTATATCTTTAGTCTTTGGATTATTTTTTCCTGTAACTTGATGTTATACTGACTATAAACTATTTTTCTGATAGTGAATTAGCATAAACAGTTTCACTAAAGATATAAATAATTTTAAATGTGTGCTTTTATCATAATCTAAGTGATTTTATGCAAAATACTGCAGCTCTATAGTCATATGCTTCCTTTAAAAGCCTAGCAACTTTTCAAATAACTTGCATCAGTTGTCTTAAAATCACAGCTCAGTGAATAACATTTGATGAAAAATGAATGTGGTTTGGGTTTTGGAGAGTAACCTCAACCCCAATTTAGGTCATTTCCATAGTGAATTTTTGTTAAAGCACTGTTTTCCACATATTTCTTCAGAATTCACAGTGGGTTATTGATGACAGTAGTGTGCCTGTTTTTCTTTTCATTCAAACCATAGACCCCGTTAACAAAGGTGTGTTTTAGCTTGTCACACTTGAGCCCCTGGTCTTCCTCCACTGGGCCATTTGGGCTTATCCATGGTGTCATCTGTTTTAAGTGTTGTTTACTGCATGATGACAGTGAGAAAATAGATAGTAGTATTATTCATGTGCTATTTCTTTGTTATATATTCTTTTTTCCAAATTATTTCTTTATTACTGTGCTGGATCTTTATTGCTGTGCATGGGCTTTCTCTAGTTACATCAGGCAGGGGCTACTCTAGTTGTGGTGTTCAGGCTTCTCATTGCAGTGGCTTCTCTTGTTGCAGAGCTCAGGTTTTAGGGAACATGTGCTTCAGTAGTTGCAGCTCATGAGCTATAGACCTGAGGCTCAGTAGTTGTGGTGTGTGGGCTTAGTTGCCCTGTGGCGTATGGAGTCTTCCTGGACCAGGGAATGAACTCATTCGCTCTGCATTGCAGAGCGAATTCTTAACTACTGGACCACTAGGAAAGACCCTGTTATGTGTTCTTAAATAACTTCATTAGGGACAGCCACAGTAATCCGTAATAATGTCTAATTTTTATTGAGCACATATACTGTGCCAGGCATTGAGCTACATGCATTATTTAGGTTATCTCTTTTGAACCTCACACTCTGAAGTTGGTGATTCTCATTTATACATAGAGAAAAGTGAGGCTTAGATTGTGTAAGTAATTTGTGCTCTGTTACAGAGCAAGGAAGGGGCAACAAGGTTGGTACTTGTACTCTTGTCTCAAGCCTGGGCCCTGACCACCAGCTGTACCACCCACAGCCTACTCCACTGTTATACATCCTTACAAAGATCATTGAAATCAACAGACTGTCTCGGAGTAATTCATCTCAGATGGTCACCTTTGAGTTTTCAGGTCATTTTGGTAATAAAGCATGTTGTGATGGCCTTCACCCACCGGAAACTCCCCTCCCGTTGCCTTGACCACAGCCTGTGTCTATGAGTGAAGCAAGGACTTCATAGAAGAAGCCAGTATCATGCAGGAATCAGGAGGAAAGGAAGGGAGGAACTGAGCAGAGAAGGCTTGGAAAAAGATTCTGTATTCTACTAGTATAAATAAAATATGCTTCTGTTGAAATTGGCAAATTAAGAATATGTTGCATCCAGAAGTTCTGCTTTGATTAGAAGTGGTAAATCTTTCTGGAGAATTAATGAGAAATTTGGGAGGAGGTTGAGTATGTTTTTTGGAACTTGAATTTGGCCTGCTAACAAATAGTAGAAAGTTGCCATCTATTTCTTATCAGAAGGAATCATGTGATTTAGTCCGTCATCCAAAATGAACTGGAGAGGATAGAAAGTCACTGATGGGCTATCTTGAAAGTTCACAAATGATGATAACATCCAGGATGGCCTCTTTCTAAATTTCCACCTACTCCAGTTCATCTTCAAAGTTGTCTCATTAAGAATTTTTCATGGCTTTGGCTGTGACTAACTGATCAATTATACTGTAATCAGATGAGTTTACATTTGATTTTAGAGTGTAAAATTTTGTTTTCTGAATGCATAACTGGCAATAAGGTATTCAGGAAAAACAAAGTAATCGTTTGCAAGGTGCAGTGAAATCTTTGTTTATATCTGTTTTGTCCCACATTTTCTTATTTTTAAAGAAATCAATGAATGTACTGTGAACCCTGACATCTGTGGAGCAGGACACTGCATTAACCTGCCAGTGAGGTATACCTGTATATGCTACGACGGCTACAAGTTCAGTGAGCAACAGAGGAAATGTGTTGGTAAGAAGACACTTCTGGTTGATGAGATTATTAAATATCAAATGTTTGCACATTAAGAGCGTTTTAATCATGGGGAAAATACTGTTTAATTAAAAAAAATTTTCTCCCTGAGCTAAAGGTACTCAAAAAAGAGGCTTGCTTAACTCCTAGAAGGCTCTTACCTCTTGGTTCAATGCTGCCTGCTTTGCCAAGAGTAATACAGTTACATCAAGGTGGAATCATTTCCCAAAGTTTTTCAGGTAAAGAATATAGACGATAGTTAAGAGCTCTAGAAATAGCTATCTATAAACATATTTAGCAAATATTCATATGAATATATCCTGCAATAAAAATATGTTCATATAAGTTTATAAAATTTGATTTTTAAAAGGAATTTCTATTCAGTTCAGTTCAGTCACTCATTCATGTCTGATTCTTTGTGACTCCATGGATTGCAGCTTGCTAGGTTTCCCTGTCTATTACCAACTCCTGGAGCTTGCTCAAACTCATGTCAATTGAATCAGTGATACCACGCGACCATCTCATCCTCTGTCGTCCCCTTCGCTTCCTGCCTTCAATGTTTCCCAGCATCAGGGTCTTTTCCAATGAGTCAGTTCTTCGCATCAGCTGGCCAAATAATTGGAGCTTCAGCCTCAGCACCAGTCCTTCCAATGATATTCAGGGCTGATTTCCTTTAGGATTGACTGGTTGGATCTCCTTGCAGTCCAAGGGACTCTCAAGAGTCTTCTCCAACACCACAGTTCAAAAGCATCAATTCTTCGGTGCTCAGCTTTCTTTATGGCCCAACTCTCACATCCATACATGACTTCTAGAAAAACCATAGCTTTGACTCTACGTACCTTTGTTGAAATTTCTATATTGAGAATCAGTATATTCTGACAAGAGACTATTAATGGATTTATAATGGAGGGAGCTCATATATGCTTCTTTGGGGAAAAATGTGTCTTACAAAGGGGTGTAAATGTATTAAGTCATTTTAATGTGTTAACACTAAATTTAATATCTTTTTTATAAAAAGGAAGTTCAGTAAGAGTTATAAGGCAAATATGGAGCAACAAAGGGATATACCTAATTAAATCCACTTTATGCTGAATTCCATTTGCAAATATGACTTTTGCTGTTTGGTTTTGAATATATATGGGGAGTGAGATGTGAGGGGGACATCCACTTGCTCTACAGTTTGACTGTTTCTCGTGAATTTGCATACACGAGATGTATTATGTTTAGAATTGCAAGTGTAAAGTTGAGAAGGGCAGTCAGTCAAGATGATTCAGTCTCGTTTTACCCATGTGCGCTGTGAAAGAGAGTGCCTGTCATGACATTGCTCACTGCCTCTGCTGAGCTGGCCTGGGATTTGCACGATGAATTCCAGCACTTAAATGAGTCCAGTTATCAGGCAGGTCCTTTTGTGTTGACCTTAAATCTTTCCTTTGAAACACCAATATCATAGCTGTAGCTTGAACTTTCAAAGCAGTATGCCGTACATGTATTCCCTCTTCGCAGTAGCAGCCCTTCAGGTATTCAGGGAAACTGACTGTATTCCTTTTACTGTTTTCCTCACTTGTAAGGTGGGACAGAGGAGACAGAATGCTAGTATTTCATGAACAGAGTGTCTAAGAATTTCATGCTATGCTAATCCTTTTGTCTGTCTTTTTGTTAACAGATATTGATGAATGCGCTCAGGATCAACACCTTTGCTCCCAGGGACGCTGTGAAAACACTGAGGGAAGTTTCTTGTGTATTTGCCCAGCAGGATTCATGGCCAGTGAGGAGGGTACTAACTGCATAGGTAATAACAGTGTTCCTTCTGATGCATAAATTCCCTCATGTGGGTTTCTAGCTCCCCTGATTCCATCAGTCTAGGGCCCATTCAGACAACCCAGAATTTATTATTAAACCCGTTACAACACAGTAATCTGCTAGATTCTGGAAGATTAAAGAATGGAATTTCTTCCCCCAACACTTTTGAATGAAGAATATCAAATGTGTGCAAAGACCAGTGGTGTTAAATATTTCTTTTGGATTCGAGTAAATCCAAATCACTCAATTTTTTGGAACAAATCAAAGAGAGATAGTAGGAATCAGTTACTTCCTTCTTAAATTTGAACTAACCTGGGAGGTGGGAGAGGTTTGAAATTAGGTTTTGGGAAATCACACTCGACAATGTTTTCTGCTTTGCTTAGATGTCGATGAGTGTCTGAGGACAGACGTCTGTGGGGAAGGGCACTGTGTCAATACCATGGGGGCCTTCCGGTGTGAATACTGCGATAGCGGGTATCACATGATGCCAGGAGGCCACTGCGAGGGTGAGTCTGCTGAGAGGGTGGGGAGACCACAGCCCTTCTGAGTGTGGAGCACACATGTCTATGAAATGCAGGGCTGGTTCCAGAACTCGGGGCCTGTAGGCACCTGGCCTGGGGCGAGTTTTCCTCCACCTCTGATCCATGCAGGACACTAGCTCGACAAGGCTCTGGCTGCCTCCCGGAATCAAGGCTTCTTTGCTTCCCTTCAGTAACTCTGTCTGGGTCTTCTTCTGTCTTCTTCTTCTATTACTCACTTCAATATCTGCCTTCCCTGGTAGGTGGAGTGACATCACTTTGTAACAATGAACTGCGGAGGATCTTAGTGCAAACCCAGACTTAATCACAGTGTCCGTCTGCATCATTCACCTGGGGACATGGTGCAGGTGTCACCTGTGTGAACTGATTGTTTTCAACCTTTTCGTCTTGGTCCATTCTGTTGTCTCAGCTTCTTTCTTTCGCCTGTGTTCCGGGACTTGCTTGCAGACTCTACAGAAATGTCGTCTGACCAACTACAGGTCAGACTCCAGCTGTGCCAGATAAAATTTCTTTAATGCTGACCCCAGCAATAGATTTGCTGTTGTTGCAGAAATGTCTTGAAGATCTTTGAGCATTTCAAAGTTAAGATGATTAACTGTTGAATATTTCTGTTTGTGCACGTGTCCCAAGTCACATGGGTACTTTTTGAAACAACCGTGGAACACTTTGAATAATGATTTTTGTGAAGAAATACACTGAACCTCTGCTTCAGTCTTCATGGAAATGTGAACAAGACAGAGGATCAGAGGCCTTTGGACGTGTTCTGAGGAGCCTGGGTGTGGGGTTGGTGCTGGTTCCACATGTTCGCTGCCTGGCTACCTGACATTTAGCCTGTTTTCAGCCACGGCTGGGCCTCCAGAGCTCGGGAGGGATAGGCTGGTTGGGGAAGGCTGCTCTCTGCTGTTTCTTGGCTCTGATATGTTGGTTTTTTTTCACAGTTCTAATGACCAGGCCTGGAGGGAGAGCTCATTAGACACTTTTTTGGCAGCCTGCACCTGCCTCACTTGCTGGCCCCTTGCCTCAGCCCCTGAGTTATCTGGAGAGAAGTGGGGCGCATTTTATGTTACTGCATCAGCTCCCATCAGAACAGAGATATGAGCTCTTCCCCTGATGGCTGAGGGCCTTGGGAAAGTGCAGGTGTGAAGTGTCCCCGCGCTTCTCTTACAGGGGACTGGCCTCTGCTCTGGAGGCCGCTTGAGGACGGGTAGAATGCAGGTGATGGCTTTTCAGCTCACGATCCCCACACTCAGTAACTGTCTAGCTTGGGGCCAGTTACGCAGGCTCTTCAAAACTTAGCTCTTCATCTGTGAAATGGGAACCGTGCAGTTAACTTCCAGGCTCATGCAGGAAGTGGGTGTTGCAGTATGTCATGTGGCGCCTGTCACCTTGTTAGCTCTCAAGAAGTACTAGTTTCCCTCAATTTCCCCTTTCCCTGACTCCTTTTGTTTTTGCATAGATATTTTCAGAATATCTATAATTGTGGGAGTTTTTTAAGTAAAAAATGGGGCTTGAGTTTATATGACAAGCACTTATATGCAAAACTGTGCTTCCCCAAAAGGTCAAGTACAGATCCTCAGGTTCTACACACTGACTCAGGACAGGAAGATAAAATATTTAAGGAATTACTACAGGTTAAGGATGCACAGTAGGAAGGAGTAGAAAAGAAAGTTGAAGATAAGTAAGTAAATGGAAAGAAGGAGACTCTTCAGTAATATTCAGTGCATGGAAATTATTTAACAGAAATCTCACCAGCATCCCTTGAGTTAATAATTATATAATTCTTACCCCATGAAAAAGCTTGAAATGAAGGAGCCAAATAACGTGGCTGTTTTCTAATTTCACCATGGACCAGAACCAGAGGTCCCTGGGCTTCTGGCTCACTGAAGATTTTCTCAGCTGTCACTGACAAAGTTGCTTTCAAACAGCGCCAGTCTCCAAGGAGTCTACTGTAGCTTACAGACATTATCTCATGCACCCTTACTTTATTCTCTGAAGGTATTACCAGGCAGGTAGGCCCTCATTTATAGATGAGGGAACAAGCAAACCGGTGAGAGCAGCAGGAAAGCCAGGGATGTTACTGTCTTATGTTGCTCAGCTTGCTTATTTATCACACCAGCCTATCTCAATGACCTTCTCTGACTTAGCAGTTGTAGTTCCATTTCTTTCTTTCTCTTTTTTTTTAAAATCCCATCCAGAGAAGAATGTAATGCTGTTTGGAAAATTAAACTGGCAAGCATCATCTTTTTGTAGAACAAGAAGTCCCAGAACATCTGACCTAAAAAAAAAAAAAAAACACCACTGTGTGTCATTGTCTATTGGCAAGGATTTTTTGCTGATAGGAAAAAAAATTGCAACACTGACCTGGTGCTTATTCTATTAATAACATCTTTTACTTTAAGCATCTTTTCATACATCACTAATGATACATAACGGGAGGTGATTTTTGAGAATTTACCAGAATGATGACATCAAATACCCATGCATGTTCAGTGTATTCATCATATATTTCTCTCACTTTTTTTCCTGAAAAACCTTGTTTAAATTTTAAGTGTGATTAGAGGTCCTATATACATCTTATATCATGACACTTAGACATTGAATCCACTCACTTGGAAAACACCTGTTTCAGTTGGGGTTGGTACCCAGGTGTTAGTACTCATTTTAAATGGTTGAAATGTTACCTTTTCATTTCATTAAACAGTTGAAAGGTACCTCTGTTACCTTTCCCCCCATTTTATTGTTTTACCATTCTTTTTTTTTTTAATTGGAGGTTATGCTTTGTATTGTTGTGTTTGTTTCTGCTGTACAACAACTCAAATCAATCAGAACTCTATATATATACATGTATATCCGCTTCCTCCCGACCCTCCCTCCCATCTCCTGCCCCCATCCCAACCCTCTAGGTTGTCAATAGGACACAAGGTTGGGCTCCCTGTGTTACATGGCAGCTTCCTTCTAGCTATCTCTTTTACATATAGTAGTGTATGTATATCAATGCTGCTTTCTCAGTTCGTCCCATCCTCTCCTTCCCTAGCTGTGTCTACAAGTCTTTCTTCTACATCCACATCTCCAATTGTTTGACCATTCTTTAAAAAGTCTGAAGCTATTGTATCTCTGCCACAGTTCTGTCCATATTTAAGGTGATTTTTTTTCTCCTCACATTGAAAAGAGCAATGATTAATAACTTTAGTTAGCCGTGAATGTGAAAAGCAAGGTGTATTTTAAACCAGAATATATTACCCTATGATTATTCACCATAGTTTCTGGAAAATCTTGGAAGTATTTGATGAGTTCATTCTCTCCTAATGTTCTTTTTTGACCTCCAAGGAATTCCTATCACATGAAAAGTTTTAAATTATTCAAACCTCGGATGTTTTGGGGACCATGAAGCCAAAGCAAGGATTTCCCTAGAGTACCCCATTGTCTGCAGAGAGAACCTCTAGCCAGGTGGATAAGTGGCTTCCTCACTGTTGTGTTCATTTCTTGTATTTCTTTCTGGCAAACCAGACTATTACTTGAAAGATGTTGATGTCCAAAAAGTGATCCTAGAGAACTGCCAACTCACAGAGTGGAGAGATCTGGGCCTGCCAATTGGAGAATTGGGGCCAAGTTCTCCCTTGAAACATATGTAACTATTTCAGTCAGGTTATACCTGGCCATGCAGTCTCACTGAGTGTTTAAGTGCACACCTAGTACTTCACTTTTCCAGTTATTGTTTTCCCCACCAATCTTTTTCCCCTTTATCACACAAGTCAGTCCGTGCTTTAGTGTTCTGATAAAATGTCTGTGACCCAGCTTTTTGATTTTTTCAGATGTTGATGAATGTTTGACTCCAAGTACTTGTCCAGATGAGCAGTGCGTGAATTCTCCCGGATCTTACCAGTGTGTTCCCTGCACGGAAGGGTTTCGAGGCTGGAATGGGCAGTGTCTTGGTAAGTACTAGAGCGTACTTATTGTAGTTGTGTGTCTTCTGTCTGGCTGGTTTTCTGACAGAGTGGTATAATGCCAAGTGCGCTGTCTTTCAAAATGGAAAAAGGTGAGAGAAAAAAAGGAATGTAACAAACTCATGTCATTCATAGAAAAGTTCTAAGTAACTTTTAACCATGAAGAAAATAAGAAATTGAGTGGACATAAAGGAAGTAAGATTTTACATGAAATATAATTCTGATTGAAACAAATTGTTATCCCTGATGTGATTAATACTCAAAACCAAATAAAATATTGATAATAAGTGCCACAAAGAGGAGAGAGGTGGAGAGCAAAATGCTTAAGAAAGAGAAGGTATGAGACAGAGCTACCACAGACTTACAGAATCAAGAAATATACACAAACTTGCAGCCAAAGCAGCAAATATAGAAAGAGAAATCTGGACCCATTGATGCTTTTGGGTCCATTGATGCTTTTGAACTGTGGAACTGGAGAAGACTCTTGAGAGTTCCTTCGACTGCAAGGAGGTCAAACCAGTCAATCCTAAAGGAAATCAACCCTGAATATTCATTGGAAGAACTGATGGTGAAGCTGAAGCTCCAATACTTTGGCCACCTGACGTGAAGAGCTGACTCACTGGACACGACTCTGATGCTGGGAAGGATGGAGGGCAGGAGGAGAAGGGGACAGCAGAGGATAAGATGGCTGGATGGCATCACTGACTCGATGGACACGAGTCTGAGCAAACGCCAGGATGTGGTGGAGGACAGAGGAGCCTGGTGTGCTGCAGTCCATGGGGTGGCAAAGAGTCGGACATGGCTGAACAACAGCAGCCCCTTATGTTTTGTTCATTTATTCGTTCACTCGAGTATTTAAGGAATCCTGAGTACCTCCTCCTCAAGGCACTGAGGAGGGTAACGACTCTGCTCTGCTGCTGATTGTTTGTGCTCTAGGCAGCTTTCCCCCGTAATGGTTTTCCTTTGTTTACCTTTCTGTTTACCGTGTGATCTTTTTCACAAAAGCTGAACTCTTTCCCACCCCATGCCACATTCTGACAGTGTGAGTTAAACTTTCCCATCCTTCCTGTCTTCTTTCTTCCCTTCTCAAATACTGTATAATTCACTGTCTACACATGGAGTGGTGCGCTTCCCTGATAGCTCAGTTCGTAAAGAATCTGCCTGCAATGCAGGAGACCCCAGTTTGATTCCTGGGTTGGGAAGATCCCCTGGAGAAGGGATAGGCCACCCACTCCAGTGTTCTTAGGCCTCCCTGTGGCTCAGCTGGTAAAGAATCTGCCTGGAGTGTGGGAGACCTGGGTTCGATCCCTGGGTTGGAAAGATTCCCTGGAGAAGGCAAAGGCTATCCACTCCAGTGTTCTGCCCTGGAGAATTCCATGGACTTTACAGTCCATGGGATTGCAAAGAGTTGGACACGACTGAGCGACTTTCACTTACTTACATACAGAGTGGTACTCAGTGCTGGGATATACTGAGGAACCAAACAAAGTACCTTCTTCTTTTGTTTGTTTTTAATTATTTTTATTTTAAAATTTATTTATTTATTTTAATTGGATGATAATTGCTTTATAATATTGTGATGGTTTTTGCCATATATCAACATGAATCAGCCAGGGGAATACATGTGTCCCCCCTCTGCATCCTGAATCCTCCTCCTGCCTCCCTCCTCACACTATCCCTTTATGTTGTCCCAGAGCAGCAGCTTTGGGTGCCGGGCTTCATGCATCAAGCTTGCTCTGGTCATCTGCTTTACATACGGTAATTGTAGAGCACCTGCCTTCATATGGGCTTCCCAAGTGGCTCAGTGATAAGGAGTCTACCTGCCAATGCATGTGATGAGGGTTCGATTTCTGGGTCAGGAAGATCCTCTGGAGAAGGATATGGCAGCCCACTCCCCTTGCCTGGAAAATCCCATGGATAGAGGAGCCTAGCAGGCTACCGTCCATAGGGTCACAAAGAGTTGGGACATGACTGACCACAGAGCGTGCACTGCCTCCAAGATCTGTTAGATGCCAGAGAAGATGTAAAGTTGTAAAGAAGCAAAACATAACAAGGTAGGATGGTGGTTATAAGGATGTGAGGGTAGAGGAGTTGGGGAGATGTTATTAAAGGGTACAGACTTGCAACTAGTAGGTAAGCCCTGGAAATGGAATGCACAGCTTAATGATTATAATCAACAGTACTGAATTAGCAATCTCAAAGTTGCTAAGAGACTGGAACTTAATCGTCTTCATCAGGAAAGAAATGATAATTGTGTGACATAATAGAACTGTTAGTAATACTCCAGTAAATGTTAATAATTTTGAGATAGGTATGTCAAATCATTCCTTAAGCTTGCACAGTATTGTCTTTTATTGAAGTATAGTTGATTTATGGCTTCCCTTGTGGCTCAGCTGGTAAAGAGTCCGCCTGTAATGCAGGAGACCTGGGTTCCATCCCTGGGTTGGGAAGATCCCCTTGAGAAGGGAAAGGCTACCCACTTCAGTATCCTGGCCTGGAGAATTCCACAGACTCTATAGTCCATAGGGTCGCAAAGAGTTGGACACGACTGAGTGACTTTCAGTTCACTTTGACTTCACTTCATAGTTGATTCACAGTATTATATTAGTTTCACATGACAGCATAATGATTTAGTATTTTTAAAGATTATCCTCCATTTAAAGGTTTTATGAAATAATGGCTGTATTTCTCTATGTTGTCCATCGTATCCTTGGTGCTTAACTTACATATCGTTTTAATGTCAGTTATATCTCAACGGAAAACCCTCAAAACTGCTTTTGAAGGAGGGAACTATGCCTGTGTGGGAATACTAGTTATTGTATTAATTTCTGTATACTGCTGCTGCTGCTAAGTCGCTTCAGTCGTGTCTAACTCTGTGCGACCCCATAGATAGCAGCCCACCAGGCTCCCCTGTCCCTGGGATTCTCCAGGCAAGATTCCTTTTTATAGCTGAGTAATATTCTATTGTGTGTATAATCCACAACTTCCTTATCCATTCATCTGCTGATGGACATCTGGGTTGCTTCCGTGTCCTAGCTGTGTAAATAGTGCTGCAATGATCATGGGGTACATGTGTCTTTTTCAGTTCTGGTTTCCTCGGAGTGTATGCCCAGCAGTGAGATTGCTGGGTTGTATGGTAGTTGTATTCCCAGTTTTTCAAGGAGTCTCCACACTGTTCTCCATAGTGGCTGTACCAGTTTGCACCCCCAACAGTGTAAAAGGGTTCCCTATTCTCCACACCCTCTTCAGCATTTATTGTTTGTAGACTTTCTGATGATGGCCATTTTGACTGGTGTGAGATGATACCTCATTGTGGTTTTGATTTGCATTTCTCTAATAATGAGTGATGTTGAGTATCTTTTCATGTGTTTATTAGCCATCTGTATGTTTTCTTTGGAGAAATGTCCATTTAGGTCTTTTGCCCACTCTTTGATTGGGTTGTTTGTTTTACTGGTATTGAGCTGTGTGACTGTATGTTTTGAAGATTCATTCTCTGTTAGTTGTTTCATTTGATATTATTTTCTCCCATTCTGAGGGTTGTCTTTTCACCTTGCTTATAGTTTCTTTTGTTGTGCAAAAGAGACATGTGTTAGGAAAGAGGGTTCTTTGATGTTACAAGAGTATACAATAGAATGAGTTGGCTCAAGGAAAATTCTTGAGGTTTAACCAGGGCTTTGTCTGGGGAAGGGTATGGAAGGAAGATCATTTTGGACATTTGGTATGTGCAAGGAGCTCATGGAAGGAGGAAGCAGATCATGTTCCAGAGGCTGAAGAGCTAGTGTGGTTGTAAGACAGAGTACCAGGGAAGATTTGCTTCAGGGGGAAGACCATGAGGGGAAAGACCATGCCAGACCCTCTTGGTCCTATTAAAAATGTTGGTCTTTATTCATACATCTCTGAGGAGATGTGTGGGTGTGTTAGAGGAGGTGGGATAGGTAGATTTGGCAGAAGCACGTGCACTTTCAATGCTTTGGACTCCTCACGAGGCAGCATGAGCTGAGCCCCTGGACCAGGTGCAGATGGCCCTCTTCCTTCAATCTTATGCCCATTCCCAAGGGTCTCTATCAGTAGACTTGTGAGGTATTGATCTTTGGGAAGCAGGTTTTTTTTTTTGTTTATTACTTGCCTATTTGATAAGCTTTTGTTTATATACTCAGTGCTGGTCAGAAAGTGCATGTGGTTTTAATTTTCCCATTTGGCATAAATTTCATAATTGCCTATCAAGGTTCCATTCTTGTACTCATTTTCACATACCAATGCATATTATAATCCAAAAGTAGAGCCTGAACTTTACCTTAACTAACTAAAATTCACAACCATGGCATAAACACAGCCCTGATTCATGAATTTACTAATGGAACGTGACTGAGCAAATTGGCAAGTGTGATTGCTCTTCAGTGTAAATGTGTGGATCCAGGTTGGGGAATAATAATATATGAGCTCTTACACCTAGATGTGTGCAATCAATCTGATCGTGACCACGCTGCTCCAGTTGAGTGACAGAAACAAAGCACCTCATTTAGCAGCCATTTCACTTTGCCAACCAGATTAGCAGAATCATAAGCAAAGCTATTAGGTCACCGTGTTACTCACCCCAACTTGGCCACTTGGCCAAGCAGTTTTGCATTGCTAACTAAGGTCACACATTTCCCATTACAAATAGGCCATGTGCTTTTTTTCCTTCGGCTTTGGGTAGAGTTTTAGGTTCTATGTCATCTGTTGATCAAGCTTATTGTCTGTGATGTAGTTGCAGTGCCATCCATTGCTCATTTTGAACTTGCAGTTTTTGTAAATTTCTCCTGTGGGCTTTTGCAAACTGTACCAAAATGAATTTTCCCATCTTAATATTTTATGGCAGTCGAGCTTTCAAATGTGAAAGTTGAATGTGACGAAAAACGGATATTGCAGAATACCTTTTATTCAGATTGAGCCAATGAATGGATTGGATTTTTCTGCAGCACTCTGACAATGCTCACGAATACCCCATC